GGGTTGACGTATCTTGCCCAAGGACACAACAACTGAGACAGCTGGAACGGGGGATCGAACTGGCAACATACCGGTTCCAGGATGACTCCCCTAACCACTCTGCCACAGCCGTCCCAAGAACAGGTATTTGTACATAGTTTGAGAAAAGCTGGTATTGGGACACACCTACTCAGTGCTTTGACAGAACCAAGTGCCCTGGTTAATGACATTTCCTGCACCCCCCTGAAATTTCCAGACGGGGAGTGGAGATAGAAACAACAGGATATTTGGCTATGACCTAGAATTACTAACAGTGCCACAACCCCAACTGCCTTGCCAATGCCAGTAATGGTGCTCACCAATAACGATATTAGCATCGCTGTCAGAAGTTAGAGAAACCAGTCCTGTCAGACTGAGATTCTTGCTTATGAGGTCACCCTGCTGGGCTTCAGCTAACACATCTTTAGCAATATGATAAGCCATCGCCTAAGTATTAACACAGCACTTCTTTTATCAAGTCACGCTAACCAACAACGACTTAAGTCAACTGGCACATAGGCTGGTAAGGAAAGCTGTATTGGAACCGATAGTTTCTTCAATCTATAGCAACAACTGAATCAACAGCAGCTTGCACCCATCGATGGAAAGTTAGTTACATTTGCTCTGGTAGACAGGATAAGCTCACCTGCTGGGAAGAGAGACATGCCTCCAAGTGACAAGAGGTTTTTGAAAGCTTAAAGTGTAGGTGACTCAAGTGTTGTCATCAGGATTGTTGTAATGAGATAAGTGCTTTTGAGGAATATGCAGGGACAGCTTATCTCATAGTGAGACTTCGGAATGAATACTATAAATGAGAAGTTGCAGATAAAAGTATAATTTATAATGTAGACTGTAAACAATATCTCATCTTATATCTTGTAAGAAAATATAAATATTTTTAAAAATCTCAATACGTTGTCCTATTTTAAATTAAATTAGTACCTAAAGGGGCAATATCATGTAAAATCAACTTTTTTGAGTTTTATATCATGTTATAATGTTATACTCTCATAMAAAACATGCCCAAAGCCTTGCTTTGACTCATTCATGCATGTTTGAGAAATCCTGCAGCGTTTTTAGGAAGCCATGCTGAGGAGCAAAATCACAGGTGGGGACCAGAAACGCCTTTTGGAACCAGAAACGCCTCTGGGATGTGTCTTTGGACCAAACTTCCTCATGGCGGAGGGCCCCCCACCCACACACACACACACACACACCCCACCCATGACTCCTGCAGGCTCTCGGGTGAAACTGAAACTGTCTGCTGAGCTCCTAACACTTCTCACTCAGTGAAGCTCTTTTCCGATTAAAAACACCTTTGAGGAAATGTATTTTCAGATGCCAAGTAAACTGCATCATAGCACACACACCCCACCTCTCCCTCGCACGCGTACCCCACCCCACCACCCCGCGCGCTTCTGGGTGAAACAGAAGCGGAAGGAGGTTCTTAAAGAGACAGAGGACAATTTCAAGGTGTTTAGAAGAGGAAGTGATGAGAAGATAAGTTTATTATCCATTTAAACATAAAAACAGCATTTTAATAACAGCTAAAGGTGACATAGATACTTTATTATGGTATAGTATTTAAATGTATGCCTGAGAAACACATAACATTGCCCCTTTAAAGAATAAGGTCAAATCTGATTTTGTTTTTTTGTTTTTTTGGCTGTATTAGTTAAGAAATTCAAAAGTTACTGCTAACGGATAAGCCTCCAAACAAGCTCATGTCAAGTTGTACAGGAAGCTCTAATTGTTTTATCCTAATGTTGTGGGATTACTGTTATGAGTAGGAAGCATACTCCTAAAATCAATTATATACAATATTTGTCAATAAGAACAAACCGAGCTCTTTTAACTTCAGCCCTTTTAAATTCAACCAGAGCACGATGACAGAGTAAAATGTAGAAATGACACGGCCTGCAAATGAAAATGATGACAAAAGACAACAGAGCTGCTTCATGGAAGGCTCACCTCAGCTTTATTCCTTCAGCATTCAAGTTAGCTCCCAAGCTAATTTTATATACAGTGTATATATA